ACGTTTGCCTAAGGGTTCCCACATCTCAGTTTGATCAATGTTTTTTCCAACAAGTTTTATTGCTCTGTGACATGAATTATATTTTTAAAACGTTGTGGTTGCCATCTCGTGGACCAGGTTGGTGGTAGTCGGTGGTACCTGTCCGGAGGAGGGCGTGGTGGCGCGCGAGGCGGACGCGGAGCGCGATGGCGACGCGCAGCGCGGGGCCGCGCTCTCCGACGAGCGCCTCTTGCCGAGCACCACCGTGCGGTGCGAGCTGGGCTTGTGGGCGGGGTCGGCGCCGGGCGGCGGGGGCATGTGGAACGAGGGCTGCAGCAGTGTGTAGGTGGCGTTGGTGCCGCGCGTGGAGGTGGGCGCGGAGACGGAGAGGGAGGCGTGGCCGGCGGTGGGCGGCGACGCGGGCAGCGGGGGCGTGGCGGAGCGTGGCGGGGAGCCGGGCGTGGCGCAGGCGGGCGCCGCGACAGCGCACGAGTACAGCGCCGGGTAGCCGTAGGGCTGAGGGGGCCCCTGCGCCGTTTCATCTCTTTGAAGCCCATCGCTACATTGGAAGTACTGCAGGGATTAGCTCTTGAACCGCTATTTTGTGATTTGTCGTCATCACGAAATTAGGTTGCGTTTATTTGCGAACTTCCTGTTTGGTTCAAGATGTAGGCAAAAATCAATTCACCGCACAATGAATCAACTTTGCAACACAAATATAAGAGCGAGTCATACCTCAAATGTCCCTTCACTTCGTAATAAGAATGTAACATAATAGAGAAGGGGACAACACAAAGTTAGGGTTCATTTCCAGTAAGCTCAATTTTAAAATATTTATCTGTCATTTACGAACAGTATAAATTGTGTTATAAAGAACGCATGTTTGTAAGATGTGAGCTGGCGTTGAAACTCGTTCCCGTAGAAGTCCAACGGACCTCTTGGTATGCTGCTTCCGTTGCGGACTAGCTAATTACAAGCACTAAAGGCTGTTTTACACATTCGGCATTCGGTGAGTAGCCAGCAACTGCTCGTCCAGTCCCGATAAGCATATATGCTTTGGGAAGGTTCGCTTCCTTTGATGCGCTCAAAAGACCGACTCGCCGTGGGTATGGCCAACACAGAACATAGAGAAGGGGCGAGTAGCAAGCAACACGTTTCCAATATTCGGAATCTGGCGAGCGGTCGCTCACTATTCGCCGGCAAAAACGGCAAATATGTGGTGTCGCAGAGGATGAAACTCTATACATTTAGAAACTATATCGAACATCAAAAAATAAATTAATATTAATTTTAACAACGACATTTAGTGTATTATTTATCATTGGGATTGAATAATTCTAAAAAATCTGTAACAAGGATTGTACATCAGCTTCTGGATAAATGACCCCCATCTCGATCAGGTTCTTCGTCCGGTTTCCCTGATTCCTTGAGCAAGTGATGAGATGAGGGATAAGAACTCAAAAGTATAATTCATTTGCGTTTAAACATAGATTTTATTACGTTGCAGCGAATATTCTTGCCAAAACATTCTTGCCGAAAAACGCTGACTTCTATCTGTATTCAGAATGTGCCGTGGCACCTTAGTGACATGGCGACCTCGGATGGAAAGATAGCAAGTTCGAGTCCCGCCTCGGGCATGGTTGTATATGTTTGCGGCTGTAAGTTTGTGACTGTCCCTTTACCCTTCATCGTCATCTCATACTTCATCCCAACGGGCTTAACAACCCTGGGGTATAAATGGATTCAGCATAAAAGTGCTGATCGACCCCCCAAAAAGGTCACATGCGCTTGCCTCCGGGAGAATAACTGGACCTCAGAAGGTACAAATAGCGCGTTCGCGGGTCTAGAATGGCCTACTCGTGACCGAATTTTTAAAAAATGCAGCCACCCATTTGCAGCCCCTGACTTGGCCGCAGCGTCCGGGGCGGGGCGTACTGCGACCACGCGGTGGCAGGGCGCGCTGGGACAACGGAGGCGTACGGCACGTACAGACGCTCTGCGAGCTGGCCGGCGACATGGTCTGCAGGGACATGGGCGTGTTGCGCGCCGACTGCAGCGCCTCCGCCGCCTGTAACCAGTTGGCAGAGCCAGGATTGATTGTTAGTGATTCCGGGCGCGTCAACTACTAGGGTCATTAGTCCCGCAAGTGGAATGCATGTTTGAGCTCGGGAGGTAGTCTTCGGGCAATGGTGGTGGTCTTCCCCTGATGTAAGGTGAGATCCGGCGGTGACCTATCGGCGGATAGAGGGCTGTTCCCCAACTAGGTATCTCTCACTAGCAGGGCACCGCCCCAGCCGGGCCAAGCTCTAAGCTCCCGAACAGTCTCCCGGCATGTGTGGTAGTGTATTGCATGTTAGTGTAAGAGGTGAGGATAGGACAAGGAAGAGGTAGGAAAGATCGTGCGCGGTCTGCGACTCGTTTTGTAGGGTACTGCTCTAGCATGCGCCTGTTATTGATCAGAGAATCCACGGAAAATTACTTCAGAACAGCCGGCCGCTTGAATTCTCCTCCAAACAGGGCTGAATTCGACCTAACTCTGCAGCTGATGAGCAAAATCCTCAACACATATCAACGTTGCATCACTGAACGAATCTCCAAGCTCTCGGCTAATACGTTTCGTGTGGTGGGCGTGGCGGGGGCGGGGCGCTTGCCTGCCGCGAGGCGTCGAGAACCGCGTCGCGCGACGCCTCGCCCGCCGCCACAGCCTGCAGCGTCGCCTGCAGCATCTGCTGGCTTTGCGTGAGCGAGGGCGGGGTGGGCTGGCCGGAAGAGGGCCCCATTGCCGCCAGCGACCCCACCGCCCCCGAACTTCCAGACCCCATAC